GAAGTGCAAGAAAACATTCCCCCCCAAAACCCCAGGAAAAAAAAAAAAAAAAAAAGATCAGCCCTGCCAACAGCTCATTTTTAGCACAGTGAGAAACATCCTGGACTTTGAGCCCCTAGAACTACAAGATAATAAATTTGAGTTGTTTTAAGCCACAAAATTTGTGGTAGATTGGTACAGCAGCCATAAGAAACTAATACAGTTGTACTTACACATTCATTAAATTAGGTTTTCATTACATAACACAATTCCTGGTATTCAAGATTTCATTTATTAGAGAAGTATTTGCAAGACTCCCAAGGTATGAAAGTGTGACACATGAGTAAGTATGGTGAATTTCCATCATTTCTTGCTTTCAGGGGTTTCTCTTTTCTGGAAGTTCTCCCATATTTTACTAAAAATGTTTTCCACATTCAGTGACTCTACAATTGTCCACGTTTCTTTGACACATAACATACAATTCATCACTAAAAACACCATCACAATCTTTTCTGAAGATTTCTGTGAGGATTCTTTGATACCAATTAGATATCACTTCCAGGCAAAAGCTTCCCCATAATAGCTGCATTTCTACCCAATATGATTTCACTAATATTTAGTAAGTCTAACTTCTCATAGAAGTGTCCTCCCCAACCGCTGCATCCTTATTGTTTCTGCCCTAAATGAGCTCTCTGACATGTAATGGTTGTAGGATTCTTGCTAAAGGCTTTTCCACACGTCTGCAATCAAAGAATTTTTTCCTACACAATATCTGTAACATATACGACATAATTTATTACTGAAGGTGTTGTCACATTCACTGCATTTGCAAGGCTTATTCCCTGTGCAAATTCCCAACTACCTAATGGGGCTTGACTTCTTCGAAAAGGCTGTTCCACAATCATGACATTTCTACCCTCTAGGAGCTCTCTGATGTTTAATAAGGACCGGGTTCCTGAAGAAGGCATTTCAACAGGCACTGTATTGATAGGGTTTTGTTCCTGTATGGGTTCACTCACATATAAAGAGGTAAGACTCACTGAGGAAGGTTTCTCCATCTTCAAGGAATTTACAGCTTTCTCTCTTGTATGAATTTTCTTATGTTTAATGAGGACTGACATGTGGGCAAAGGCTTTGCCACATTCACTGCATGCATATGGTCTCTCTCCAGAATGAGTTCGCTGATGTTGAATGAGCTTTGATTTACTTCTAAAGGCTTTTTCACACTCACTACATTCATAAGGTTTCTCTCCTGTATGAATTCTCTGATGTTTGGTCAGGTCTGACTTAAAAAAGAAGGTTCTTCCACATTCACTGCATTCATAAGGCTTCTCTCCTGTGTGAAGTCTCTGGTGTGCAATGAGGTACGCCTTCTGGGAAAACGATTTCCCACATACACTGCATCCATAGAGTTTCTCTCCAGTATGAGATCGCTGATGTCTATTGAGCCGGCACTTCCGGCTAAAGGCTTTTCCACATTCACTGCATCCATAAGGTTTCTCTCCCGTATGAGTCCTCTGATGTACCATGAGCTGTGACTTTCTGGAGAAGGCTTTTCCACATTCATTACATTCATGGGGTTTCTCTCCTGTGTGAATTCGCTGATGTTCGGTGAGCTGAATCTTCCTCATAAATGTTTTCCCACATTCATTGCATCCATGGGGTTTCTCTCCTCTTTCAATTCTCTGATGTCTAATGAACTGTGCTTTCTTGAAAAAGGCTTTCCCACATTCACTGCATTCGTATGGTTTCTTTCCTGTGTAAGTTTTTTGATGGTCACTGAGCTGTAATTTAGTGTTGCTACTATGTTTAACATGCTCATGGTATTTAACTCCAGTAAGAGTTTTATCATGCTTGATGTGGAGACATGATTTTCCATATCCACCAAACTCATCAGAATCCTTTCCTGCATATCTTCTATTCTGGATAACAAAACCTAAATGAGATTTCAGACGTTTACAATGTGAGACAAACTTACTGTGTCTTAAAGGAACAAGACCTTTGTACAAATCAAAATTATTTCCAAGAACATAACTTTGCTGACATCTTTCCAAACTTTTAAGCTTGTTTTGGTTTTCTGGGTGCCACTGCATGTGGTCAATCTCCCATATTTCTTCTAGGAAAAAGAACAATAAAAATATCCATAATAATTTGGGGGAGAACAACAGATACAAAAATGCCATAGTTTTGGTAAGCCTTTATAAGATCCCAAACTAAGAGGAATGTACCTCATTCTCTGTGAAAAAGGACAACATTATAAAACAGAAAAGGAAATACAGCCGCTTTAGCAACAATGATGGATAGTCTATAATGAATAAATATAATCTGGGCTGTTTTCCAAATAGGACCCTGAAAAATGGGGACAGAAGTAGAAATAGAAACACAACGCAACTGTAATAGAACAAAAGAAAACAAAGCAGAAGAATCCATTCATTCAACAAACATTGAACTGGTTGGTATTTGGAACACTAACATGACTAATAATATAACTCTCTGTCTCCATGAAGCTGTCATTCTAGTAAAAAGAGAGAGAATCAACAGGTAAGCAAAGAAATAAGAAAATTACAGAATGTGAAAAATGGTATAAAGGAGGTGATAGTCAATCTTTAGATAGAGTAGGCATCAACAAGAAAAGTTGAGCTAACATCCTAGGATAAGGAATGAGCTCCATTATGCAGAGAACTAAACGAAGATCATTCCAAGAATAGGAAAACCTGTGAGAAAACCCAGAGGCAGAAAAAACTTAGGCAAGATCAAGAAACATAAGAGAGGCTGGTGTACCTAGAATATCCTGAGCTTGAGTAAGGTAGAAATAGATAAGTTTGGAAAGGCTGGAAGAATTGAAAACATATAGATCTTATATAGAAAGATTGTTAGAAATTGAATTTTATGAATATTTTTTGGCAAGAAAACAACCTGTTCTACATTGATAGTTCCAAAAAGTAATACGACTTTTCTAGAGAGAAAGAATTGGACAGATGAAATTGTAGAAGAGAATAAACAGGAGGCTATGGTAGAGTTCAGGGAGCTTGAGCATGGATGACTACCGTGGAGATGGAGAAATGCGCAAAATCAAAGTACATACAGGTTGAGCATCCCTAATCTAAAAATTGAAACTTTTTGAGCACTGACATGACACCACAAGTGTACAGTAACCTTATAATCAAAACACAGCATAGATGGTGGAGACTGAAAGACTGCTGCTGTTTGTTGTTGTTTAACAGCTAATACAGGTCATTCTGGTAATATCACTGTTGTTTATTAACCCTGAACACATTCTTTCTTCACTGTATTATCAGTATGTCATATCTTTCACTGTTAAGTACTTACGTGTGAATAAGTCTAAGAAAATGATTGCTTATGGGTAGCATATAAATTCAAGGTCAGGAATGATGGTGATGACAAACAACCCCAGACTGTCCATATGGGTGACTAATGACAACTTTGCTTTCTGAAAGTTCAATTTACACAAACCTTGTTTTGTGCAAAAAAATTATTTAAAATATTGTACTAAATTACCTTCAGGATATGTGTATAAAGTGCATATGAAACGTGTTTAGACTTGGGTCCCATTCCCAAGATGTCTCATTATGTATGAGGGTACTTCAAAAAATTCATGGAAAAATATAATTAGAAGATAATACACCAGAAAGAGAAATATCACATGTTCTCACTTATTTGTGGGAGCTAAAAATAAATAAATAAATACACACCAAAAAAAGGTGGGGGGGAAGAAGACACAACAATTACAATTCCTTGAAGTTGATACAAGAAGCAAACAGAAAGGACACTGTTGGGAGGGAGGGTGGAGACGGAGGAGGGACGGAGGTTTCAGTAACTGGCCACAATAACCAACCACATTGTATACTGACAAAATAAAATAAAATCTGGAAGAAAAAAAAAAAAGACACCCCCCCCAAAAAAAAAAGGATAATATAAATCTTTCCATAAACTTTTTGAAGACTCCTCATATATGCAAGTATTCCAAAATCTGAAGAAATTTGAAATCCAAAACACTTCTGGACCCAAGGATACTCAACCTGTAGTATGGAAGACAAAACACATGTATGGAGGAGGAAAACATAAGACCCACTGTTTTAATGAATGTCGAAGGTAGAAAAGAAAAGAATCAAGGACAGCTCCTTGATATGTGGCTTAAGCATCTATGTAGGTGCTGATGCTTTAATAAAATTAAAAAGATTAGGGGCACAGATTTTGCATTTGGGGGTAATTAAGTGCTCCATTTAGAGGCACCCCAAGTTTGAGATGATTAACACATATCCAAGAGAAAATATCAAGTACCGAGCTAGATCTACAAATGTGAAGAAAGACAGTTCTAGACTAAAGATAACGCTTTTAAGTCATACATATATAAACATTATTTAAGTATTTGGAAACACATGGGACCAGATGAGACTTAGGAAGAGGGATAGAGAAAGAGGACCCAAGACAAGAGCTTTAAGCTCTCCAAGTTTTAGAGTTCTGGGAGAGGGATATGCAGAGAGAAACTGAAAAGCCCATCCACAGACATCAAACCACACCTATGCCAACCAAGTAAACAAGCAGCATCAGTGTAAGTAACAAAGGTTTGGAATCAGACAATCAGAATGTAGGAGCCACAGCATCTCATTCCAAAATTACTATGGTAAAATATTAAATTATCACCCTGTTATCTTTCACATCTTGTTCCAACTGCATACCAAAACTAAACTTTCCTAAAACACCAATTTAGAAAAATACTGTAGTCAATATTACAACTTTCTATGTAGATGTTGTGAAAAACTGTGATATAATAAAAGGGTTTGGGCCATAATCCTGAAAGATACAATCCCAAATGTCAAAATCCGGAAAGATCAAAATCCCTAAAGTCTAAAATCCCAAAAATCACAATCCTGACGGATCAAAATCCTGAAAATACAATTCTGAAAGAAATAATTTTAAGAATTCTTTAAAGGCTTATTTACATTTTTATAAGGGGATTTACTTGAGAAACATAAAAATATGACAGAACACCTCACAGGCCACTTTACACAATACAACAGGCAATAACTTAAAAGGGGTCTTCAAAAAGTTTGTGAAAAGATTGGTATTTTTTAATTTTACTTTTCCACGAACTTTTTGAAGTATCCTCGTACATATTTTCGCAAGCATAAACACTGTTACACTCATACTAACGACAGTCGCATGGGTATAACAGTTATGAAGAGATAAACCGTATTCATAAGCAGGTCAAAAAGCAAAATGTATAAATGCATATCACTATGTTTAGTAATTGTGTGCACACAGCTTTATAACTGCAGTCATGTGAAATGCTGCGATGAACCACTGAAGTCTTTTGATCAAACCCCACGGTGGATCACCACTGCATATGCAGTAACCCAAAGAGCCAAGATCTCAAGAAATTTTATCTTCCAGATACACAGATGTACAAAAAGGACATCTTTTCATCCACTTAGGAAGTTTCAACATTTTCACATCCAAGCACAATGCTTAAAGTCAATGTTGTAATAACGCACTTTCGTTTTTGCAAAAAATGCATAGAACAAATTAGAACTCCCTAAAAGCCTTTACGAAATTTATACCTCCAGTATTGGAAATTATGCAAAGATGAGATACATAGCATAATCAATTGTAAAAAATAATGCTGACAATTTAAAATAGTGGGGAAAAAAACTAAAAAAAAAAAAAAAGAAAAGAAAAGAAAAAAACTTATAAGTTTATTACAGGGATAGATTAGGGGCAACTGCACAATGTAGTCCATAAGAGCTAGCCAAAGTTCATGATCGTTAACTATGTTTTGAAGTCTTGCCTCCTAATGAATAGCTGCTTTTTCTCTTATTTACTTATATTCATTATGCATATTCATGGGGTACAAAGCTTACTGTCACCAATTGTGCCCAAGGTGAATGTCCATTACCACAAATCGCGATTATTCATTCCCCGTGTCCACCACCCAATTAATCACCGATCTCCCTCTCCCTCCCATCCACCTTCCACCCCACTCTGCAACCCTAGGTATGCTCTCTGCTGCTTTTTCTCCTTCAGGGCATGGTTCTCCTCAGAAAATATGTTCACATCCATTTTCTACCTGGTACTGTGCCTTTTGAAATTCTTCCATGATTCGATAAACACTGTCATGAGCATTCCCTATTAATTTTCCAATCTCCTGTGCCATTCTTCTATGTTGTTTTGTGTACTGTAATATTGTGAAATATATATTTGGTCTTTCTCTCTGTCCCTTGGCATACAACTCCTAAAATTCTTAAAATTTCTAAAATGGTGTCTTTTTGTATGCTAATGAGTTGACTAATGGCTGGCAGCCCCTAGCAGTTTCAGGATAGGCACTGGTCACCTGGTCACCAGAAAGACCAGGGTAGTCACACCCCCCCAACCTCTGGGAAGTGAGAGAAGTTGAAGGTTAAGTTGACTGCCAATGGCCGATGATTTAATCAATCGTGCCTATGTAATGAAGTTTCCATAAAAACCCAGAGGAACAGGGTTTGGAGAGCTTCTGGATAGCTGAACACATGGAGGTTCCCAGAGGATGGTTTGCCCAGGGAGGGCATGGAAACTCTGTGCCCCCTTTTCCATACCTCACCTTATATATCTCTTTATCTGTGTCCTTTGTAATATTGTTTATAATGAATGGGTCAACATAAGTGTTTCCCTGAGTTCCATGAGCTGCTCAGCAAATTAATCAAACCCAAGGAAGGGGCTGTGGGAACCCCAATTTACAGCCAGCCAGTCATAAGCAAAGTTAAAACAACCTGTAGCTTGCAACTGGCATCAGAAGTTGGTGTGGGGGGGCCATTTGGGGTCTGAGCCCTCAACCTGTGGGACGTGACCCTCTCTCCAGATAGTGTTGGAATTAAATTGGAGGGCACCCAGCTAGTGTTTGCTGCAGAATTGGTTACTTGCTTGCTGGTGGGGAGAAAT